CCCTTCCCTCCTCCTCCTTTCCCTTTCCCGTTCACCTTCCCCGCCCTACCCTCTTCTCGCTCCCCTTTCCTCTCTGTCACTGCTATCGCATAATGCCACCCCCTCCTTGTGATTCCCCATACCTCCCTATCACTCCCTGGGGCTCCTGTTGCTTCACAGTTGGCATGCTTAGTGATCTGCGTGCTACTAATATAGTCTATGGTTCAGCAAAGAGAGGAAAGAAAGCTGACATCTATCAAGTGATCTGTGTGCTACTAACGGAGTCTATGGTTCAGCAAAGAGAGGAAAAAAAACTGACATGTATGATTTCATGAAATCACACAGCTGAGAATGCTCACCTTGGCCCCGGCCGGCTGAAATAAACATGGTCACAGACAAAAACCCTGCCGGACTCCACAGCAGGAATGGACCAGAAGTACTTCAAAGATGCAATAAGCTCCAACTGCAGAGTCCAGAGACAAGTCGACACACCAAAGTGCAATCAATACCAATGTTGCAATCAAGGCCCATACAATATGCAACATTACAACTGACTGACTGCAAAGTTCAGCGAAGTTAGTTGACCACACTACAATAGGACTATCTCCGCTGATCTCTGGATCTGGATTCTGGACATAATCGTGGTCTGTGATGCATCCATGACCAGCCCTAATTGCTGTCATATACATCCATGAAAGTCCTATTGTGATATGCTCTGAAGCAAAATCAACCAACAAAGAAAACGACCCGTAAAAATAACAAGCCAGGCGATGATAAAGCAAATTGTAGTGCAGTAATCCCATCAAAGCCCATGCAATTCATTATCACTATGGGACATAGGATGGATCCATGACACGATGAGTGGCCAGCTTGGGAGGGAAGAGTCCAAAGACTCCAACTTCCTTTCCTTTGGGACATTAGATGAAATTGGGAGAATGGTAAACACGGCTAAACAGTACGAAACTGTCTAAAGTTCTCTCTAAACACCAAGTACAGAGAGGATGAGCATGGCCCTTGCGCAAGAAGGACACACGCAGGAATGAAGAAGCGGCGCAAATTAAACCAGCAAACTTTGCAAAGACAAAAAGAACAGACTTAAGTCTATGCACGTAGCATTTGAGAACATAGTTGGACAGACTGAACAATGGTGATGCGGAAAGTTGCTCCAAACGACGATATTGCTTTTGTGCCTCTGTGCCACGACGAGGGAGGAGGATGGACAACACAAATAAGACAGACAAGTGAAACGAAGGTAGGACAAGAGGAAGCCTTCTCACAATAGTTTTGTGTGGAGGTGGAGACATATTCCACCTCCATTAAACTTACTTCACCAAGCGTGCGCTGTAAAGATGACGAGCATGGGCAGATGACAATAACCTCTGGAGCATATGCAATCACCCTCTCCCATTGCAGCCTCTCTGCCGGTGCTCCTGGCTCCTGAAAACAACCCCAATAACACCTCCCCCTCCTCACCCACCCAAAGAAAACAAGGGAAAGCCACGGAGAGTCGAAACAAGAGCAAGAAAACCGTCAACTCTTAGCTTTGCTTCCGTCTTTTTCATCCCTTACCTTTTTTAAGCAAATAGCTGGTCCCGCGTAACACTCCCACGTGAGATCCGCCTTCCAGTGTTGGGAAAACTTTTTGCTGCCCCGGTTAAGGTGCGCCGGCGCATCGGTCAGTTGGAATGTTCGAATACAAGTACGGCCTCACTCGACTACTCACGAGATGAGGAAAGTCAGAATGAATATGGAGCGAATCCTTTGCCAGAACGTGGAAAGATACATTGCTATATTTTTTTGTCGTTCGTGCATGTGGAGAGTAGGCAATGTATCTTTCCAGGTTCGGGCAGTGTATTCGGTCTTTTGTTGTTTTTTTTGAGGTCTCCGCTTGGCAGTTGGGTTGCTGGCTGTAGATTCCCTCGGTTTAGCTTTACCCGTTTTAAGGGCCTTGAAGCTACGTATACCGCCTCTCTCCACTACTATCCAAATGTGCAAATGAGACTGAATCCTCCGCTCAAACGAGGAAAGATACGCTGCCATGTTTTTTTGTTTTTTATGCGTGTGGAGAGTAGTGAAGTGCGCCCGTTGCCATGTTTTTTTTTGTCTTTTATGGGTGTGGAGAGCAGTGAAGCGTGAAATGAGCAAATGAGACCGAATCCTCCGCTCAAACGATGAAAGATACGTTGCCATGTTTTTCTGTTTTTTATACGTGTGGAGAGTAGTGAAGTGCGCCCGTTGCCATGTTTTTTTTTGTCTTTTATGCGTGTGGAGAGTAGTGAAGCACGATCCAACTGTGGAAATGAGACTGAATCCTCCGCTAGAACGCGGAAAGATACATAGCCATGTTTGGTTTTTGTCTTTTGTGCATGTGGATAGTAGTGGAACACCGCCTGTAATCTCCTCAGCGTCGCTCCAATTTTTTATTTTTTATTTTGTGGGGGGGGGGAAGAGCGGGGGGGGGGACCATTTTTCGGTTTATACGTGTCATCCTTGTGCAGGGTCCATGCTAACCCGGAGCTGCTTATAGAGCCTGGAAAATGGCCTCGCTCCACTACTCTCCAGATGTGGAAATCAGACTGAATCCTCCGCTAGAACGCAGAAAGATACGTTGCCATGTTTGTTTTTAAAATTTTTATCCTTTGTGCATGTGAAGAGTAGTGAAGGGCGGTTCGTAATCTCCTCTGGGTCGTTCCAATTTCTCTTCTTTTTTTTGGACCATTTCTCGGTTTATGCATGTCTATGCAATCAGACTCGCTTTCACTTCCACTTCACATACATTCAAACAGATGGGGATTCACACTGGCGCAGGGCGCCCACTCAAAGCTTAGAGATATGGAAATCAAGAACACAGTTCAGATGCAAGTTCACTTCAACAGGCTATGGCACATCGGCGCCTGAACATCCCAACCTTCGTCACTGTGTCCAACCCCACTGTTCACACACGCTCACTCTGGATCACCATGAATACCAGCACACACACACTCTTAGTCTTACTTCCTCCTACAGCAGCTGTGGCCGCACTACCACTACTGACTATGGCTACGATCTCCCTTCAGCCCACTTCGTCTTTAGGCAACCTGCAGACCACCTTCGCACAAGACGCTGTAGCAGCGCTTCCACATGGCTTACGCAGCGAATGAATGAATGGCTGGATGCTGCTTCCTGTACTTCTGTTTGTGGCTGGTCTGCCCTTTTCCACCCGGCCCTTGGTGCACACAGTCCCACATGGTACTTGCTGACTGGACTAGGGGAGACTGGGACTGGGTACCACTGACTGCATGGGATGGTACCGCCGACTCAGTGCAGAGGCACTGCTGACTCGGTGCAGTGGGTTTACCACTTGCCCACTTGCCTCTGGTCTGCTGTGGGCAATCTTCGAAAGGCCACTTCCGGACCTTCCGGAAGGCTGTGGACTTGGCCTTTCGAAACTGTAGCAGCTACGACCTTGACCTTTCAAGAATGTAGCAGCTACGACCTTGACCCTTCAGGACTCCTACAGCTACGACCTCTACTATAAACTTTGACCCCTACGCGACAGATCTACGGTTCAAGACCCGACGGACACACAGATCTACGACAGACTACTACTGGCTCCTAAAACACAGGTTACGGGTTCAAACTTCAAACACACACAGGGGGGTACTGTACACAGGTAGTGAGGTCTAGGGATCGAGCCCTGGGTCTACATCCGCTACTGCAAAAGGGTGAAAACCGTTTCATCTAGGTTGCCATGTGTGCGTTTTAGATTTTCCCCACAGCAGCCCCAATTCCACCCAGGTGAATAGATTCAGAATCGAAGCAGTCTTTGTGCTATTGCAGACAACGATAGCATTTGAGATGTCCAACATATTAAAGCAATTTGCCAATTTTATAATTAGACAGTTTTTTGGTTGTCCTTGGGGTACCCCTTTCATTGTTCTTGCAGCTCCCCTTTTTACTGTGCTTCTTACGCACAAGGCTGCCCACGTTGATTGTGGTTGCGCGGCAGCTGCCCACATCCCACTTGCACGTTATTTCCGGAGGCAGAGTAAAAGGGAAGGCATGCTCCTGTGCATCTCTTCAGAGCTTCATACTCCTGTTCATTTCACTTCAGATCTTCAGCTTATACAGTCTTTGTGTCCGTCCTTCATCTTCATACTTCCGTTCATTTCACTTCTGATCTTCATATTGTCTATTCTCTTAATGATGCTCATTCGTATGTATTTGTTAGTAGTACAAAGGGAGTGGAGGGGAGGGTGTGTGTGTGTTTCTTTTTTTTCTTCACTGTTCTTGGTCTGCGGCGGGCATCCGCTTCTTTCTCTTTAATAAAACAGGCAAAGATCAGCCAAGCTCAGTCAGATTTGATTGGCCAGCCTGATTGCTTGCTTGCCCCTTCGCTCCTTGATTGCTTGCAAGCTGAGAATAGTCGTGGTTAATTGTCTTGAATAAGCGCACAAATGGGGGCAGAGGTTCCTCTCCACGGGGGAAGAGGTTGGTTTCCTCACCCTTTCCTCTTTGACTGTGGAGTGAGTGGGAGCGAATGTGGTAGTTCCACTATTTTTCATACTCAGTGAATCCAGTAGATCTCTCTCTGGTAGGAGTAGCTGTTCCCAAATTTTCTGGAAATTTTCGAAATTCTCCTAGGCCACCAGCCAGGCCGCCCAGGTCACCCTGTTTTCCTGGGCAGCTCAGCCATGCAAGGACCAAGGAAGGTCAGCCAAAAAAAAAAAAAAAAAAAAGAAACGTAAAAAAGCTAGGAAGATTTTCATGCCCGGCCGGGCACCTGGGCGTGCAAAAATTAAAAAAATAATAAAAATTCCCTTTTTTTTCTTGTGCTTTTCTGCACTCTCCAGAGGACCCCAAATCCAGGCTCATTTCGTTTTTTGCGAGTTGGCTTTCAAGAGAGAGGGGGGGGGGCGGGGTATAAAATGGTTTTAAACTTTAAAGGGGCTAAAGGGGTTTAAAGGGGGGTGCCTTAGTGTGATTCCGTTATTTTCTTTTCAATCTCCAATTCCGTGAGGAATTCTAACGTGACCCTCAGACAAACGTCGTTTGTATTGCAATTCTACGTAACATTTTTTTTTCCCGATATTTTTTTCTTTTTTTTTTTTGGTGCTGGGGCTTCCCGGAACCCTGCCCGAGAGCATGGTCCCATTAGCAGTCGGATAGGAGTGTGGCCGATCCAGTGTGACACTGAGTGGCAGCGGCCTGACAGGTTCATTACGAATTTCGGGGGTGAGAAAACAGGAGAAAGGCAAAAAGAAAGAAAAGAAACAGAGACCTCCCACCTGAAATCACGGCAGAGTGCTTCCCAGCCATCAGATCACAAATGATCTGATGGTGGTGTTTGCAACAACAGTGCAGAAAGTAACTGCCACATTTTCTGGAATAAACTCAACTTCTGTCAGCAGTGATCCTGACGCTCTCCATATACTCCGTGATTGAAGGAGGGCTCCACCCAATGAGATAATTGCACAACAGCAAGCAAAACACTGAAAATCTTCTATCCAGTGGGCCTACGGCCAACCCCACTCTCTTTTGGGGTTGGCCATACCCCCAACGGATTGAAAAGATTTTGGCGGAAGCTTCCTTTGCACCGGCATGCCCAGTGTTAAGGAGAGGAGGAGGGGAACCAAGATCTCCTTACTTTTTCGGGTAATACATGTAAAATACTGACCATGGCATCACGAGTACTGCACGGCAGGATTTGGGTCACTCAGCTGCCACACAAACTCTTTTCTATCCTATCTGGTTCCTAGTGGGACCATGCTCCGGGGGTCATGCCCGGCCGGGCACCCGGGCGGTTACCCGCGCACAAGTTGGGTGCCCGGCACCCGGAAAAACAGCCTAGAAAAAAAGTAAAAAAAAAACTATGTTATGCAGAAAAATAAACTGAACAACTTTTGCCTCAGGGTCGCATCGAAATTCTTTACCAAATTTAAAATTTAAAGTTTTTTTGTTTTTTTTTTTTGTTTTTTTGGCCCAGGCCGGGCAAGTGGTCCCGGGACACTCTGGTAGCCTACGAATTCTCCTAATTCCTCTCAGCCGAAGCACATGAAAATAAAGGCCTGCTCAGAACAGGGGCTGAAGTCAGGTGGATATGGGCCTTCTCTGACCACACGGAAGCGGAAGGAACAAAAAGAGGGAAGAGGGGTAGAAGCCAGCTGTCAAGGGCCAGAGGTAGAAGCACAGAGACAGAAGGGAACAAAGGAAAGCTGGACCCAGTTTCCAGCAGGTGTTGCTCCCCACCAATAGATGGAGCATCCCGACAGGCAAAGCCCCAATTCCGGTGGTTCTCTTACCACCAACGGGATAGAGGCCTTGCAGAAGGGTTTTTCATTTAAAAAAACGGAAAAAAAAAGAACGAATTCATAAGTCAGTTCAACAATAGATTGTCAACCGTTGAGTACTAATGAGCTCCATTCATGGTGATAAACTGAAATAAAAGCAAAACTAAA